GGCCGGCTGCCTCCTGCCTTGAACCGTGACGGTGCGATAAAAACGACGGCCGTTAATTGGTCCGCGTGTGCACGGATTTACGTAACACGTGAATTCGTGAGAGAGGCTCGCGCGTATAAACTCGCTCACGCGCGATAACGCGAATATATTATGTACATATACCTATATATACGACGGCGAGCGCGCCGCGACGCGCCTACTCTAACCGACTCGACACCTGCCCTTTACTCATATCAAACGGACAACAAGGAAGATTTTCTCCTCCTCTTTTCCTCACGTCGGAAAAAAAAAAAACGTCACGAGATCTGCAGTCTCTACGTAAGTATATTAAGCACGCCTCGAAAGCGCTCCGTCGCGCGGCAGCGCCGTCACCGCAGGCACAGCCCGTTGTCTGAGGAATTTCGCGAATTTTAGAAATCTTGCGTCTTCTTTGGAACTCGGCGATTTCAATTTCGGAATAACGCTTTTTTAACTGACTGATTGTCAAACAAGCGTGTTACAAATTTAAAAAAAAATTTGAAAATTGTTTTCTTTTGTTCTCTTTTATTTAGCTTCGCGATGCTTATCCCGTTATTTGTTTTATAATGAAAATCATGACAGTATAACGTTGTCTACAATTTACTCATCCATGAAAATCTATATTCTGATCTCGTTTTTCAACGCTCGGTATTAATCTTCTCTTTAATCTTCTCGGTATTAATCTTCTCTTTTGCTAATTTATGAATTTCCACTTTCCAACGCTACTTTTCGAGGGGGGAAAAAAAGAGCCGACGCGACATAGCGCGATCCACGCTTTTTCCGCAAATCTCGAGAATTCTCTACGACGCATGCTCCCAGATAAGCATCTTTATTGCGCATTGGCGCAGAACTCGAGATTCTGGATAATTTTACCAGATCGAATTCTCACCAATTAAAAAAGAAATGCTTGATCGAGCTCCTGATTTTTCTGCGATGTACAATATTAGCGAATTGAGAGAACGAAGAATTCACGTTGTAATTTTAGTTTCCAAAAATCTATACATTTTTCGTTCACATTTAACGGAAGATTTCATTTAATTAAATATTGTATACCACTTATGTATATATATTAATTATATATTTTGTTTCACAATTCATCTCTTATGATAATCTTATTATTATATTAACAGTGAATATCTTTTTTCCACCTTTCTCCGATGAAGATAGTTGCACTTGCATGCAAAAAAATACGCTAATTGCAGTAAGTAGAACTCAGAGGATACTGCAGAGATTCAACTATTGTATCAATCTTTTTATTTTCTTTTTCTTCCAGAGGGAATGAAAGACTCGCGATGCTACTCGCTCAATCACGTTGGATCGTAAGGCTGCTCGATCGCGAATGCTCGAGTGTACGTGGTGACATCACCTGACAGGTTACACCTGCGTGGTGCGGAGCGGTCATCGTGCATTCCATGGGATCGTGAACCATGATAGTCCGCACATTTCCAATTGAAAGGCCTCCAAGAATGTGACTCCTTAACAGAGAAAAGAGAAGTCGATCGGTGCGTCTCCACAGTCTTTTGCGACAGCCTCTTTGTTATGTTTATATTTCTCTTGAGTTGTCGCTCCAAGTCTCGCAAAATTTTTACAAGTACTGAGAAGAGAGAAAGGCATAGAGAGAGAGAGAGAGAGAATAATAATAATAATAAATAAAAATAGAAAAGAGTTAGACCAATAAACGAGCAAAACTTTTTTGGTTGATTAATTAATACGAAAAAATTTTTAATAATTAACGAATTGATGGAACATTTCGGGTTACTTAGTCATCATCAGCTATCATATAAATTCACATTACAATTAAAATTGACATTATCGGTGCAGATGTGTTTTTACGTTTGTCGCAGTTCTCATAAATCGTCATTTAATAATACAATGTCTAATTAATACCACGTGTACGTATCAGTGCATTTTCCGTGGTATTAATTAGACATTGTATTATTAAATAACGATTTATGATAGTTAAGATTGTAGAACTGCGACAAACATAAGAACAATGCCAATTTGCATCGATAATGCACCGATAATGCCAATTTTAATTGTAATGTGAATTTGTATGATGGCTGATGATGACTAAGTAAGCCATGTTCCATCAATTTGTTAATTATTAAAAAATTTTTCGTATTAATTAAGCAACCAAAAAAGCTTTGCTCGTTTATTGACTTAACTCTTTTCTATTTTTATTGTTTTACATAGGAGCGGTAATTATTTTAATTATTAATTAATTTATAACTTGAATAATAACTAAATTTAAAAAAGATTTCTTGAGATTTCACAAACATCAATCCCTTTTAAATACATTTTGATCCGAATTTATTTTAATATTTAATTCGATTTAATTAACATTAAATCTTAATGTAAGATTAATTTATCTTAAATTTTCATAATTCGTTCTCATTTCCAAACGCTAAGAGTACTATTATATTTATTCGTTTTCTGTCGTATGACAAATTTTTCAAGCCCGTTGATTGGTTATAAGATAAGGAGACCCGAGAACCTCTCTGTCCTGCAGCCAATTAATTAACACGCTTAAAAAATTTACAAAAATTCGCACGATAGAAAACGGGCAAATGTCATAGTACCCTAAGTTGTATCATATTACAAACTCGATGCCGACTTAAGATTGCATTCAAAGACAAAGCTGCGATTTCTCGGATTGTATGTCAGGACATCCGTGAAAGATCTATGAAAGAAATCGAGTGATTCGATATCGTCGGGTCGCCGTGTCAGATAACGATCGTCAAGAGCGAACGATGCGTCCGGACGAGGTCTTCATCGACCGTGAACGCATTTAATGGGTCGGTGGGACTTTCGTCCGTTTGCAGGACTCGCCACAAACGACTGTCAAAACGTCACAATTCAATGCGACTCAAGGAGATCAACGCCTCTAATTTTCAACGGGTGAAGAATTCTTATTTTTCAACGGGAAGTTACGAGAAGACGGTAAAGCAAGCGAATCTCGGGCGAATCTCTATAAAGCATTTATATATACATATAAAAAAATATATAAAGCATTTATACATATAAAAGAAAATGTCCGAGAAAAACGACGAGTAGAATCAAGAGTTTCACTTGCAGTTGAATGGTGACAAAACAATGGAAAACATATATCATTTATCACGAATTTCTAATTTTTTTTCTTTACTTAATTATATATAAGCACGCTTATCTTATATAATGTATAAATTAAGGTAACAGTCGAAGAAAAATGCCACTTTATAATTTTTTCATAAGAACGAGAAGTAACGCGTTCTCAAGTTATAGGTATAGGTATTTATATAGACATAATATGTATATAGATAGACCGACCATATGCCAGACAATGATTTTCTGTGGCCGACATGTGCGTTCAAAAAGATCCAACTTTTTGTTAGAAAGAGAGAGAAGAGAGAATTAGTTTTGTGTGTGTGTGTGTGTGTGTGTGTGTGTGTGTGTGTGTGTGTGTGTGTGTTTTCTCTCTCTCGCACGCGCCGACTAGATCTCATGTGACATGCTCGATTTATCTATACATTAACGATCTATACTATACCTATGTATGGACTGCGTTTGGCGTGGGCAGTCGGAATGGCCACGTATTCTATGAAAAAATAGGAATGGCAGCTCACGTAGTGTTTTAGCAATAGATTGTTGGAATGTCCCATGGCTGCGTTCGGAAACGTTATCCGAGTATTCCCGTATATCATTTTATCTCTGTTCAATATTCGGTGTACAAAAAGAAAAACAATGATATACGGGAGTACTCGAATGCACTCGAATGACGTTTCCAAACGCAGTCATGGGGCACTGTAACAATATATTGCTAAAACACTATCTGAGCTCCCATCCCTATTTTCTCATAGAATACGTGGCCATTCCGACTGCCCATTGCACGGAAAGAACAATTTTGCTGAATCCAGATCTGAAAATATTTTTGTTCAATAATCAAAATGTTGTACGAAAGTCAAAGTGATTAATTGCTAGAATATCAAAACGTTTTATAGCAATGCTTTTATGCTTATCAGTTTTAATGTTCCAACAAATTATTTTGATGATTCAACAAAAAATTATTTTCAAATCTGTTTTTAGCAAAATTTTTAGATCTTTCAACAAATCGTTCTTTCCGTGTGCACATAAGTGTGAGTAATTGTAAAGCAAGACGTGGAAGAGGATTTCGGTTGAAAGATTTAGAAAAATACAGAAAAGTACGTCGTGAAATATATCTATTAGCTTTATAATATTTCAGAATATGTTGTGTGTATAATAAATTTAAATATGTTATAAATATACAGTTTTCCTTTCATTTGCCCCAAATTTGTAAAAACAAGTCACATTTATAAATCTCAACTTGCTACGAAGTATATACCAGATATCTAAATTATTAAGTGTCTTATTGTATAATCGTTGTGTAAGATTTATATTTTTGTAAATCTCGAACTCTAAAATGCACGCAACTCGGAATAGTGAAAAAAATTCTATTCTTGACGGCAATTAATTGGTAGAATGAGACGTGGCAGTCATGTGGCTGAGACTACATTTTGTGAATACATGCAGTGCTCAAGTTGCAATGTTCCCCTAATGAACGAAACTTGGATGAAAGATGCCAGTAAACGTAAATTAAATTACGTAAATATACATAAATTTAATTATGTAAAAATTAAACATAATTTCTCGTAGTTCGCACGAATAACACGATCCTATTATTCTAGAAAGTTTCAAGTGTTGCATCTTTTCTCCGAGTCACCTTATATATTGTCTCCACAATCATCGAGAAGATATATGAACAATATATTTCGCAAGCATCTTTACAAAACAAAATTCAAATCAAATTCTCTTTTTCTCCGACTTCGACCTTTGGTACCGTTGAAAGTCGGACATCTCGAGGGCATCTTCGTGTATTATTAAACGCGTTTTTAATAAGCTGTACTGTACATACAAAGAGGGGGAACGTATATTGTTGGCAGAGAAAAAAAGGGGAAAATAAAATTTGTAGACCTATCGCAACCTCACTCAAGACCAGTGTCGCGTTCGCGGTGGAGCAGTATATCAGTCGTTCCCGTATAGTACACGCGGTTGTCACGCGACTAACGACTGACGATAAACGCGCGCACATACACGCGTACACGTTCGCGAAGGATCATAATCGAACTCGACCTCTCCGTCGATCGACAGTTCGTGACCGCTTTGCGATCGATTTGAAACGTATACGTACGTAGAACAGTCGCCCGTTGTCTCTTGCATCGTTCCTTTGCTCTCGGCGATTCCGGTGTTGGCACAGTGTTTATTCGGTATTCATAAAAATGAGCAAAAGACTGCAGACCACCGCGAAACGCGAATTAAACGAGAAATCGATCACGTGCGAATCGAAAGAGCTTCCTTTGAGGAAGGAGCAAATCTCGAAGGCGTCTACTGATAGCGAAAAGAAATTTCGTTCTGTGGAGAAATTAACAAGCGTGGATGAAACAGATTGCATTAACGTTGCGCCTGAAATCTCTACTTCCAACAAGGCTGCAGAGACTCCTGAAGCTTCAGAAACACCCAAGACTACATCCACCTCCGACAAATCTACTTTGGATTTCGAAGTTAAGTGCCTAATGCCCTTGATTGGAGTCCATACAGGCATACATTTGACTACGTCCGAAGAATCCACCTCGAACAAATCCCCGGCTGTTGAGGAAATAATACCCACGATTACATCCGAAATGCCATCTACTCCCGACAAATCTGACGCTCCTAAAGTTCTAGAACAACCGGAAGTACGTGCAATGTCAAAAGCTTCCACCCCTGACGAATATCCGGTTTTCGAAGCCAAGGGAATGCCCAAGATTATGTCCGAAATGTCCACCTCCGACAAACCTGACGCTCCTAAGGTTCTAGAACAACCAGAAATACATCCATCGTCCAAGACTATGTCGAAAACTTCCACCTCCGAACCTTCGGCTGACGAAGCTAAGAAAATGTGCCTAACCCGCGAGACTACATCCGAAATATCCACTTCCAAGCTTGAGGCTGATAAAAAACTTCTGGAACATCCAATGACCTTTGCCAAGCCTTTGTCTGCGGGCAATACTTCGCACATATCCACCCTCGATAAAATTGAGTCTCAAAAAGTTCCCGAACAATTATTTCCCAGCGTTATTACGTCCGAAATGTCCTCCACCACTGAACTTGAGACTCCTAAAATTCCAAAAGCCGCAGAAGTGTGCCAAACGCCTAAGACTATGTCCGAAACCTCCATCTTCAGCAAAACCGAGGTTCCTCAGACTCGGGAAGTTCTCGAGGACCTCGCACGTCCCGCCAGCTTCTCAAACCCCAAGCCCCAGACAATCCCAGACAAAACCGAGTTTCCTCGGATTCGGTATGTTTTCGGGCGTTCCGACAGCTTCCCAAACCGCGAACTCCAGACAACCCCAGGCAAAACCGAAGAACCTGAAATTCCAGAAGAACACCGAACACGCAGTGTTGAATTCCAAATCTCCGCTCCCGTCGAATCCGACGATCGTCCTGAAGTCGCAGTAGCAGGCGAAACACGCAGCACTACATCTGAAATGTTCACCGCTGGTAAATCTGAGAATAAAACAGGCTCCATGAAAAATCTTTACGACAATTCAAAAGTTCTTTCTGAGAAGCTTAAAAAATGTTCTCTCAAAGAGAATACGAAATCAACTGACGCTGCAGAAGAGTCAGACGAGATTAAACTGATCAAAGTAAGCTTTCTTTTTATACTATGCTATTGAAGATGTAATTAAATGAGTTGGAGTAAATGACGAAGAAATAAATAAAAAATTAAATTGATTAAATTTCAATAAGAGATACTAAAGCATAATTCATAAATATTGACATGTTAAAGTTCTAAATTTTTAAAAATAAAATATAATTTTGGATTTAAAAAAATTAGGTGAAAATCACGCAAAAGCTAAATAAATTTAAAGAATTCATTTCGATTATTACGTTGAAACTCTGCGTGTAAATTACCGCGAATTAAGTCATTAGCCAATGATAGTTTACGCAACTTCTCGTCCACATAATTTTACAATATTTTTATCCTTATTCTTAATAAACTTAACGTTTCGATCCTAGGAAAAATGTAATTTAATTTCTTCAAAAAAAATTTTTTACTTACAAAATTCAAATGAAAGTACGATTAAGATAGGAATTAACTAAAATCTTGAATGTTTAACAAAGTGTTCTGGACGTCCTAAAAAAATCTACTCGCTCACGTCATGGCCGAACTTCGAGGAATCTCCTTTGGTCCTGGCAACACATCACCTGGTACCTTCACTGCCGCTCGAGATCTTCGAGATATTCGCAGAAATAATCGAATTTTGTACAGGCAAGCCGGTGATTTTGGTACACGAAAGCTGCAACAAAAGGGGCCGACCTGTCGCATCGCAAATCGTTGATATAGGTAAACGCTTAAATGGATTTCTCAAGAACGATTTCACTATCTTAAAATGTAAACGAACAAAGAATCTCATAATCATACATCTGAAGGCAATTAGATATTACTTTCCTTCAAGATCTTTTCTTTAAATATGTTTTTTTTTTTAACACTTTCGTGGCCCTCGCGATGTTTGATTATGAATAATCTTTTATTTCAAAACAGATGTAAAAGGCTCACGAGCTTGCTGTCGTTTGCTCATAGTAGAAAGAAAAAGCGCATTATACCATTCTGTTAGGAAACATAAAATAGTATTAATTGAAGAGATAGATTTTTTATCTTTGAACTTATTAATTTTTGTAGCTATCCTGCCACCGGACGAAACTTGGATAGACGGCGAGCTATTACCAGCCAGCTTCATATTCGAGCATCCTTTAAACAAGGACAACTCGACCAACGTGTACGTCGATATATTCATCACAAAAGATCACGCTCTACAGTTTAAAGTAAATAAATTTAGCAATTCTTAACTCATTTCTTTTTTGTCGTTTCTAGTCTATAATTAGTATTTAATTAATATATCGTTAATTTGCGTTTAATTAAAATCAACAGTGTTATACATTCTCCCAAACATAATTTTGAGATATATTGGCAATCATCCTTTGCAGGATATCTTAGATCTACGAGGACGAAATTGCGCCTTTCAGGACAAACGAGGCCGATTCACCCCCGCTGGAAACCTCTTCGACCATTTAAGATTGAAAGGCGAAAACTTATTATTTTTTGGCAATACACATGGTCAGTGTGAAGTATTTCATTTATATGATTATTATTTATATTTAGAATCTTCGCTATAGCTAAGAAATATTAAAGAAATGACAATACTGAGTAAATTAAATATTGTTGTGTGAAAATAGTGTTATTTTATCTATCGTATCTTTTCAAGGAATCGAAATAATTTTGGATAAAGTAGATATAGATGAAGTTTTTTTACCTTTTCAATTATTTTTTCAATTATCAGAAACTAGATCGCAGATCGACGTACTGAAAATGATCATCAGCAACCAGATAGATGTAGGAGTTCTGGAATCACCGGTGATCAAATGCCAAATGAATAGACTACCCAATATGGATTCCTTGCACATCCTCACGAGCATCGGACCTTTGCCACCTTACCGCATCATGATAAAAAAATCGCTAGGTATATTCTTATAACCACGTTAAAATAAAATATTCTCGAAAATTAACGCCAGAAAGACCTCGTAGAATAATTCTCGCTTTCACGATTAAAAAAAAAAAAAAAAAAAGAAATAATACCTAGAAATGATAATTCATAAAAAATAAAATTTCGAAAATTAAAATAAAATTTTTTAAATGAAATAAAGCGCACAATAAGCGCTGTAAGATAAAAATGAAAGATGCTTTTAATCCGTTAAAATTGGAAAAAGACTGAAGCAAAGAGAAAAATATCTACGAGGTACGCGTTCTGCTTTTCTCTTTTCTTCGTTTTATTTCTCTTCATTAACATACTTCTTTTTTTTTGCATTTTATTCTAGCGCGTAGTATGTCCGAGAAGCTCTCAATCTATATGCAACACATACATAAGTACAGTGTATGGTCGGAGAAACTGAAGCCCTTCGGTATCACAGGTTTTGGACCTAACTCGAAAGATAACTACACCGTGGATGTAAAAATTAGAGAGCAAATATTCGGTAACTTGCCGTACTATTGAAATCGTTTTACATTATTCATTTCGTGCTTCTATCTTTTATCACTGTATACATACCATATATACATTTATATACGCATATTCTCCTCTTTTTGCTTCAATGTAACATGATATTTTATTATTAAATCTAAATAAATACAATTATTCACAAATTTATCCTCGACCTATATATATATATATATATATATATATGATTCGTTAAAAAAGATTCTCTCTCTCTCTCTCTCTCTCATTCACTCACTCACTGCAAAAATAGTGAAAAAGAATGTGAAGAATTCCGTATTTATTAAGATTTATTATCAAATAAACTAAAATTTATGAGAAATCTTATATGAGAAGTCTATTTGTGAGAAATCTGAACTTCAAGTAATGAATTGAAACAATCTTAAAATTTCGTTTGGAAATAGAATTACTCGAAAAGTAAAAGCAAAAATTGAGTGCCCATCGAAATGCAAGTCTCATCGAATTGTTATTATTATTTATAGTTCTTCTAGATGACTTATACAATTTACAAAGCGAATTTTGATAACACTTTACGCGCTATGTGCATCGAGCGCGTAAAGTGTTATCAAAATCCGCTTTGTAAATTGTATAAGTCATCTAAAAGAACTATAAATAATATAATAATAACATATCGATGAGGCTTGCATTTCGATGGGCACTCAATTTTTGCTTTTACTTTTCGAGTAATTCTGTTTCGGAACGAGACTTTAGGATTGTTTCAATTCATTACTTGAAGTTAAGATTTCTCACAAATTTTGATAATAAATTTTAACAAATATGGAATTCTTCACATTCTTTCTCAAGATTTTTTCAGTAAGTGAGTAAATTTTCACTCATTCAACTCATTCTTTCAGCCTTTTATTCGATTTTAACTTCTTTTCTGTAGTAACACACATTCCGTGAGCTTATTCCAAATCGATTTGCTCGATGCACATAGCGCATAAAGTATTATCAAAATCCGCTTTGTAAATTGTATAAGTCATCTAAAAGAACTATAAGTAATAATAATAATTCCATGAGACTTACATTTCGATGGGCATTCAATTTTTGCTTTTACTTTTCAAGTAATTCTGTTTTGGAACTAAATTTTAGGATTGTTTCAATTCATTACTTGAAGTTAAGATTTCTCACAAATTTTAATCCATTTGATAATAAATTTTAACAAATACGAAATTCTTGACATTCTTTCTCACGATTTTTAGAAAAATACTGACGTTTTGTGACTTTCAAACTTTGGATTTTAAATTTGAATTTTCGAAATTAAAATTTTTCCTGAAAATTACATTTTCCTTTCGTCGAGAAGGCGTGTAAAATCATCTTGTTTCAAGTAATGCTCGAAACAATTTGAAAAACTTCCGTTACATATGATCAAAACTTCCATCACGAAACAAACTTTCAAATGTTTCTCAGCCCATCGCTAGACTCGCGATAAGTCCCAGCTTACGTGTAGGTCACTACGTCGTCCAGATGATCTCATGGAAGATCACAAAAAATTCGGCGGAAGCATTCCATTAGCGAGACGTATAGTGCGATTCGACAGGGCATTGTTGAGAAACTCCTCCAGTCGTACTAGAGGCCCACCACCGCCGCCCGCGACATTACGCATACGCGGATAATATTGCTCCATCAGCAGCGCCAGCAATTTATAGAACTGCTTCGGATAGGCGGTCCACAGCACGTTACCGGCGACCTCGAGCACGTCCAATAACAAAGTCGCGCATAAATCAGAAATATCGGCTCGTGGTTCTGAAAATTGAGAAAAACAGTTTTTTCTTGTATATAACACTAAACTTATAATTTGAGATTATAATTGTAAAGATTTTTACTTCTTTTTTTTGACAAACGTCTTACTTTGTTTTATATATTTTTCTTCTATATTTTTCTTTACTTTACTCTATTTAAAACATATTTCTAGAGAATTTTTGCTATAGATTTTATTTTCGAGATATATGTATAGATTTTTTTTTGACAAATTTTTTACCAAAACCAATGCTTTCTAATGCAAAATATCAATGTTTACATTTTATTGTGTGTAATGCTCCTACCGATATTTAAAACAGCAGTCAGCCATCTCCAGGCATTCTGAAGGCCGTGGGGATGAATTTTAGTGACACCCTTCCGCTGTCTCGTAACGGTGATCGACGCGTACAATCTCATTAATCCCGACATTCTCTTTAGGAACTTGTCCTGCTTTTCGACAGCGCCGTCTTCGGAATATTTACATCCAAGAGACTTATAATAATCCTCATTGGACTGGCCCTCTTGCTGCTGTAGAAAAATTGGCACGGTGAACGGGCACGCCTCGTGAAGATGCGCCAGAAACAATTCACCAAAATCTGGATGCTCGTTCCAGAGAGCCACGACAATCATCGCCACCGGGAATGCCATTTCCGGCTTGCTAGACACCAATGTTTCGCCTTGGCTCTAAAGATTCGTAAAGCTTGATTAAAAATTAATTTAAATATAACAATTTAATCTAGTAGCCAAAAAAATTGCCTGTAATTTAGATCAACTTTTACACAACTTAATTTTTATTAAATTTTTTTTTGTTTCTGAATTAAAAAAAAGCAAAGATTTTGTTTATGACCAATTCCACCGTTGTAAATATACATGTAACGGAAAGCGTTTCCCGTAGCTATGAATTTTGAAAAGATACATACGACTATCTTTTTCGCCAGATGATTCTTGCAGAAGATCACTCCTTGCGGGTGCTGCGTCACGTAGGGCGGCAATTTTCCGATCAAAAGATTCTGCAGCCTGTCGTATTTGTCTCTCAAATGTTGCTCGCTTACACCGGAAATCGCATTTACAGGGATATTAATCGCCTTCTGACACTCGAAGCGGAATTTCTTCGTAGCAGCCGATTGTAAAAAGTTCTTGCAAGTATTTCTGTAAAGCTCCAAGAATTGTTGGCTCCTAACGTACATCTGCAATGATTCCTGATTGACATACCCGAAACGATCTCCTGTAAATTTATAATATTACATATTAATTAAATAATCTGTTTGCTTAGATAAAAATCTAAATTCAGACAGAAAATTAAATTTTATTTATCCTTCGAGATATGAATATAAACTGAATAATACAAAATAGAAATAAAATGTTGCAATAGTATATTAATCCTAATCGGTATATTCGCGAGACTCGGACATCTCTTCAATTACGCGCCAAGTCTCTAGATAGCATTGTGAAAAAGTGTTTACAACACATATGTTTTTCAACTATACATAATTTTAAGTTATGTAATCTTATTTCTCAAATTTTGACCTTCAAAATGAAAAAAATTGTTCAATTACGTTAATTTTAGACAAAGATACATTAATGTAAAGTTTTGTCGGATACATTGGACCCAGTTAAGGAAAATTTCGAGCGAATATCGATTAGAGTTAAAATTTCTAAATTTTATAAATCTTAACGCACTCTCTTTGCATGCGGAATCTTCAGCCGTATCTTCCGGTTTAGCATTAGATATAGACGGTGCCACTGATTCGTTAACCGGTACAACTAATATTTCTTGATCAGAATTCCTGCTATTGCTTATTACACCAGAATTTTGATCTTGTCTGTTCTCCACAGTATTGTTTTCATCCGGTTGTTGAGAAGGAATTACATCACCAACTGGAACATTGTCTGTCTCTTCGACTGGCTGTACCTCGCTTGCAACTTGCGCTTTGCGCGTCAATTCCTCTTCATACTGAGCGTTTATTTTTTCTACAGTGCATAACAAAATATATTTAATAGCAAATTTGATACAAGAAAATATAAGATTGTATCTGCAAGAAAATTTACAAACCTATTTCTGTACGAAATACATTCAATATATCGTCAAAGTGGTAAACCAAAGTTTCACTAAGGTTCACATCCGTAGCTAGCAATTCTTCATTCTATAAAGGAAAAAAAATACCTATTATTTGTCAATTATTAAGAAAATATTATGTAACAATTTGCAAAAAGTGTTCCTGGGAAAGAAACTCTAAAAATTCACGATCATCTCTTTTCTGTCAATTGCGATTCGGCATTTAACAAGATTATATTTAATTTTTATATCTTCCTGCAAATAGTTTTTCTTTTCTTTTCAATAATTACTCTGATTTTCTCGTCCAAAGCTTCGATTCGTTGGATCAGATCTCTTATCCTCGCGGTATGCGCCGTGAAGATTACATGGAACGCTTCCTGATCCTTGCAGATTTTGGACAATGCCATGAGTTCACAGTACTTGGCCGTGAATTGGCCTCGATGGATCAGCACAGCCTTCGTCAGCTCTTCCTTTTCTTTCATCCGCCTCCGATATTCCTCCATCTCCTGTTCGAGCTTCTCCTTCTGCTCCTGAATGCGCTGCGCATGCAATTGTTGCTCGTGCCGCCTCTTTATCTCGTCCTGCTCCGCGATTCGCTCCTCCTCGGCCAGCAAGTACGCCAGCTTTTCCTCGCTCCGACGTTCGCGTTCACGTGCCATCGTCGAGCGCGAGTTTGCCATTTGCTCCTGAATGGCACGACCGTTCTCCTTCATACGCTGAATACGACGATCCATTTCTTTCTACGTTACAATTGAAAAAAAAATAACGATAGAGAGCAGCGTCAATCATCAATGTAGCTGTGATATTAATAACATTTTTAATATTATATTCAATGGAATTTCATTAGAATTATATATTTGTCTCAATTACTTGTCCATTCAAAATCTATTTTATTAATACTTATAACCTTTGTTAATTAAGATTAACTGAAATTATATTTGTCTCAAATTACTACCTACAGATAGGTTCATAGAAATTTTTTCCATTCGTCTCCATTTTTCCATAATCCATTCAACAATAAAATTATATAAGAACTACGTAATTAAAGCTTAATTTTAAAAATATATTAATTAGTTGAAGAAAAATAACGAGAGAGAGAGAAAGAGCGCAGCATCAATTAATGTAGCTGTGACGTTAATAACATTTTTAATATCATCTTCAATAGAATTAGAATTCAAAATCTATATCATTAATTAGTTATAATCTTTGTTAAGATAAACCAAAATTATATTTATCTCAAATTGCTACCTACAGATAGATTAATAAAACCTTTTTCCATTCAATTCCATAATCCATTCAATAATAAAACAATATAAAAACTACATAAGCTTAATTTTAAAAAATATTAATATATTTAAATTAAAAAACAACAAGTGATTCAGGCTTCGATAATTAAAGTTTAAAATTAATAATACAATAGGCCAAGCTGGATGTTTGTGCTAACAAAGTACATTAATCAAAATTAATTACACACGGTAATTTACAACCAAAATTAAAATAACCAAAATGGTTGTAAATTATCATATGTAATTAATTTTGATTAATATACTTTGTTAGCACAAATATCCAGCTTGGCTCCTTACCTTATTCTATTATTAATTTTAAATTTTAATATATTTACTTGACATTCTATGTATGATTTTATAATAATCGAGATACCCTGACTTCTTCTTTTCTTTGCAGCTCGCTCTCCAGCAGAATCTTCTTGATCGAGAAATGGATGCCGTTTAGAGTGGAAACTGTGTTGTTCTTTGGGCTGGTAACAGTTCTCTGTGGACTTTTAACATTGCAGGAATTCTGCTCGTTCTCGATATTGTCCATCTTGTCGAAATCCTCCTCGTACGGCGCCGATTTGGGCCCGATCGTGATGCGATCCATCTTTGTGGTCGCCGATATACGCGACACCTTCTCCAATACGGACACCTTGAGGCAAGCAAAGTCCGATGTGATGTCCATGTTGTTCACCTGTAAAACAACAGTCGTCGTTGTTCACTCGAATTCAAAGCCGGGAGAAGCAAAGTCAGGGTTTTATTAACTTTCTATTAAGTCTATATCAAACTAATGATTGAGATTGAGACTGAATTGGAATTTCACTAATCAAAAAACAAAGTTCACTAAATTGGGAGATTGATGTTCTTTCTTCTCTAACTGATTAAATCCCAATCCAATTTCAATCTCAATCTTTAGTCTGATATGGTCTGATACGGGCTTTAGGAAATTTAAAGACTAGAATTATAGAACTCGTTGTTATAAACCAAACTTGTCGTTCGTAAACAGACCGAGTGTCCGAGAACGCAAATTACCAAACAGAGCAATACTTTGTATTGTTATTCATTCGTTTTTGATCTCCTACGGAGATCGTCGAGCTTGATATAAAGTTATAAAGATATCAAAATCGCAATGAACAGAGGCCTCCAAAAGTTTCCTCCAATTTCCACACATGTAATCTTGTCAATATAAAGTTTTTTTCTTATCACTCCAAATTAATTATATACCGCACGCTTATTCTTATTAACTTACCCTATCGGTTTCCGCTTTCTTTCTCTCCAATCGAAACGACATAATTCTATTTCGCAGGAATTTTTAAAAGGAGACTAGGTATAAACTGTGTAAGCCTGGACCGCAAGTTGTCCTCGTGAATCTAACCTGATCCAGATCAGAGCGCGCATGTATATACATCCACTTGAAATCGACGTGAGAAACTGCACGCCGAGATCATCGTCTTCTCGTCGTGCTACTCGATCACATTGATTGTGCACGTCATTTCATATCATCGACATCGCGATACTCCTCCGCGGCAATAATTCGTTCGTTCACACGACACACAGTAATTAATTGTACCGCTGGCGGCAGGGGATACAAACAGATACAAACTCCTTACATTTCACTCATTTCAGTGGGAAACGGAAGTTTCCGTAGTTCTAGTATCGGGGGCATAGTCCCAGGCGGCAGCACCATCGCCTCTTTCCTGTCTCCTCTCAAATCTCTCTTTGGACAGGGAAACACTATTAGCGCTAATGACGCAAACGCTACCAAATGGAGCCAATAGTGTCGTAGCGATTGCAAGCATCATGAACAGTATTAGCATTAGCGTAGCATTATTCGCATTTTTGTGATCAGCATCGTTTTACGATTATACACATGACTTCCCAGGCAGAAACATGAGATCGGATAGACGTCTATTAGACATCGAAGGCGTCTACGTCTAAAATAACGTCTAGAAATATTAAATTTAGACGTCTAAAACAATTATAAATTATTAAATGATAAGACAATTTTTAATAAAACATTTCTTTGGCGTTTTGGCTATGTCGGGCTTCAATCCTAAACGGCCATAATAAATAAACGATTGCAAGTCATCTTTTCAATCTTACTTATACAGATCTTTATAAGTAAACGCACATCTGATCTGGAGATCCTGAGCACACTTTATTAGATTGTGTTATTCATTTACATTTTATTTTTTTATAATTTAACGTTACTTACATTTTTTACATTATTTTTTTAATTTCTTTTTTTTATATTTATTTATCTTTTTTACTATTAATTACAACTAAAAATAAAAAATTTAAAAGATAATTAATAAATTTAATTAATGAAAAATAATTTATAAAAATAATTTACTCTATGTTGATTATACCTTATATAGACAATAAAAAGCATCATACATCGATACTTATAAGTGGCATAACAGAGCAGATGCCGAGCCTGATCGTAATCCTGCAATCCAGGTTCAAAATCCACCATTATAATTTGAAATAAAATTATAATAAAAATGTATTTAAAAATTACGAATGGTTGATAAAAGTTATTTGAAATTCCTAAATGCTTATTAAAAAATGATGATAAATAAAAAAAAGTTTTTATTTTTTATTAGCCAATTACTGACTAATTCCTGGTTTATTTTCT